ATTCATTCGATAAGGCAATATGAAGTTTACATATATTATCCTAGTTAGCATTGATGGTTAAAAGAAAAATGATTCATAAGAATTCAGTAATTTAGCGACGTATGTCGAATTAATAAGTCATTAGAGTTTGATAAGATGGTGATGCAAAAGCTCTCGGAATTCAGTCTCAAATTGGAATCGAACTCAAATTGGCATTCTGAACAAAATGGAATTTTATAGATTACAGTCGATTTGTGATCGCATTTTTATATCAATGGTGCCATTCGATTTATAAGCCAATGATGAATTTTCTATGAAAATTATCACCGACTCCAATCATGAGTCTATTAATAATGTCCTGAAATATTGATTTTTTGTAACATTATAGAATTAGTTATGTCTAAATTAAATTCAATAAAATTATATTTATAGGATATATATATAAATTATAGGAATTCATTCGTAAGCAATATGAATTTACATATATTATCCTAGTTAGCATGATGTTAAAAGAAAAATGATTCATAAGAATTCAGTAATTAGACTATGCAATAAAAGTCAATAGAGTTTGATAAGAGTGAGCAAAAGCTCGGTTCAGTTCAAATTGAATCGAACTCAAATTGGCATCTGAACCAAATTGATTTAATAGATTCAGTCGATTGTGATCGATTTTTTTCATGTCCATTCGATTTTAAATCCAATTGATGAATTTCTATAAAACCGACTCCAACATGAGCTATAAATATGTTGAATGCTTAGGAAAATATGCCAATTCCCTACTTTTCATGAGCTATAAATATGCCAATAATTATTTTATGTCCTAATTAGCCGATTTCTACTACTACTCTCTCCATTCCGTTATAATAGCAACATTTTCTTTTTTTACAAGAATTAAGAAAAAAATTTGAACAAATTGATTTTTTAAAAATATATAATAAAATATTTAAATTATCCTTCTTAAAATTAAAAACTCCTTATTTAATTTTACTATAAAATTAATGCTAATTTTATGTCATATTAAAGCATCATCACCATTAGAGTAGTACTTCTATTTCATTTTTTCATATTTTGATATAATAAAAAACTTTTGTGTGTAGTCAAAATTTCAATTTAACTACAATTAAAGTAATGATAAAAAAGAGAAAAATAAATGTAAATATAAAAATAAATCACATCTAATAAATAATAAATATGAATAAAATTGAAAATTTTATTAATATATTTTGAAAATGTTAAATAACCACTTAAAGTAAAATGTGTATTTGTTGCTGCTAAAGTGGAATCAAGAGAATAGTATTTTATTATTTTTCAGTACATAAATATTTTAAAAGTAATTCAATAAAGTTAGTTTAATTAATAAGGATAAAAGCATTATTTTTCCTCATTGACCAGAATTTGATGTTATTAATAATATTCTTGAAATCTATAGAAAAATTGATCTAATCTCAATAAGAATAAATTGATATGAAACTGAAAACTCGTATCTAAGCATTTAAAAAATAATTCAATAGAATTAATTTAATTGGTAAAAATGAGAGCTCTTATTTTTCATGGACTAGAATTCAAAACTATTTAGAGAAGACTCCGTGAATGTATTCATAAATGCACACCCAATTGATGTGAGAGACCAATAAAATATCTTTAAGATTACAAGGAAAAATGTTAGTTTCCACAGTTTTAAATTGATCGAGACAGTCTGAACTATAAATAAATAAAAATTAAAAGGAAATAAATATAAATTTAATTTAATTCACATGCTGATAATGTTTTGCAGGATAGTTTATGTGGTTAATTAGTCTTTTGTTGGCTTTTGGCCATGTTTATAAAAACAAAAAAAAAAAATAGAGAAGAAAAAATTTGTGAAAGGAAAAGGCATTTTGAGCTGAAAGACGATTAAGAATAGTGTGTGGTGTTGATCTGTAGAGCATAGCTCCTGCCTTTAATGCAAAAGCACATGGAGGGGTCTTTTGGTTGCAGCTCTTTCTGAATAATTTAAATGAATGGCCTGCAAGAGGAAGAAGAGGTTGGAGATATTAAATTAATATTTAAACCTATCAATCTAATTTTCAGGGTACAAAGGAACTTACATCCCTTCAGGGTTCTGTTTCTGATTCTCATTCCCACTTGAATAATGTTCTTCTATTATTTTATTCTTATTATTTTATTAAATGGTTTGAAAATCAGCTACATCACCCCCTTTTTATTTTTATTTTTTCTATTGGGTGGGCTCAATCAATAAAATAAAAATGTATGTCTGCAGAACAAATAGTGTTGTTTGATAGCTGTTACCCTATTAGTTGTAATTTCTCTTGTTCAAGGGGGAAAAAAAAGAAGAGGAAGAGGGAATCAATTCTTTTAATTCCTAATGTGAGAGAATTATTTAAAACCCCAACAATTTTGCTACATTGCATGTACCATTTTATTTAATGTTTGATGTCAAAAGAATTATTATTTTTTTACTTACGAGTTGTGGCTTAGTTGACAATGCAAATTGAATACGTGGAAAGAATTAAGGCAGCTCTTGGTAATAGAATCCGAATACCGATAATTAAAAAAAAGAATTATTGTTTTTCTATTATTTATTTATTTATTTTTATTTAATGAGCTTGATGGGATATGGAATTCATGGATTTTATAAAGTTCATGAAACAGCTATTTAATAAGAAAATGATGATATTGAATTTCTCTCTTCTAAAATAGCAAAATTGAGGCTACTCACATGATTGTGTTTTATTATGTGAGTATTGCGATAAACTCTACCTAATAAACACTAAATATTATTAGTATTTGCATGTCGAACCCTTAGCTGCCAGCCACAGCTTCACTACTCGACGCCACCTCAATAGCATTCTGGCTGTAGCTGTAGGTGCCGTAAGCAGCCTGCCGCCTAGTTATTTGCCAAATCAATTTATTGTAACTTTTGCTTCCCACATTGTCTCGTTAATAAACGATTCCACTGTTTGCTCCGCGGGCTCTTGAGTTTATTCTCACTAGATTTATAAGAAGAGCGGTGAGTTTTAATTGTAATTAAGTTTCGAATTAGATTATGCGGTTTTTAACAATAGACTCCAAATATCAGTGATTTACCAAAAAAAAGATTGGAGAAATACTCTTGGAAAAAAAATTACATAATATACTAATTTTTGGAAAATTATATTAAATATATTTAGTTTTACTGAAATTAATTTAAATTATTAATTTGATATTATCTACATATTCGAATGGTAAGTCAAAATTTTTAATTTAAAATTTAATCATAACACATATAGTAAATCATTACTCCCTTCGGCAAAAAAAATAGTCTACTTTCTATTTTCACACAGATTAAAAAATAGAAATTATTATGGTTAAAATGATAATTTTATTCATATAACTTTTCTATTATGCTCATCTTATATAATACATGAACAATTATTATATTAAAAAAGTAAGAACTAATGAGAGTTATTGAAAATAAAATAAAATTTAATAAAGGTATAGTAGACAATTCAAAAATTAACTATAATGCAAAAAAAGAAGGTAGACTATATTTTGAGACAAACCAAAAGGGAAATACGGATTAGTTTTTTGGGACGGAGGGAGTATATTTTAAATTACCATTTTCAAAAAAATTATATTTTAAATTAGTTTTGAAATTTAAAATTTTCATCACTTAAAATTTAAATTAAAATTTTTTAATAATTAATTTTCAATTTTACCAAATATTACTTGACATTATGCTTGAATGGAAGGCAAGTTGGAGAAAAAAAAAAAAGAGGAAAAAAAAAAAAATTTTAATAATTATTTCCAATTTTACCCAAATATTACTTGACATTATGCTTGAATGGAAGTCAAGTTGTGAGAAAAAAAAAAAAAGAGTGAAAAAAAAAAAAAAAAAAAGAGGAAAAAAAAAAAAAGAGTAATTATATGGGACCCATAACTAATTTTTTCTCCAAATGAAGGAAAAGTTATTAAAATCACTTGTTTGTACCTCGAAGCACATTTTCCAATCAACGAGTGCGGATAAAAATATTATTGAAATTATTATTATTACAACTTCCTTATTCTTTCCATGTAAGTATTTTTTTTTTTATGTAGTTCGAAATTTAAATGAATTATACAATTAAAAGATAGTGTTTTGATTTTGTATTTTTTTTTTTTTGAATATTTTCACATATTATTTAGTACGAGAATAATGTGGTTTAAAATTTGTAATTTTCCTTTTTTTATATAAATTTTTATCTCAATAAAAATCTCAATTTTTAACTACTATAGTTTGTTTTGGTGACTCACATCACATGTATAATTTAGAAATTGATTTGCTTAGAGTCGATTTATAAATCTAATCATAGATGAAACTAATCGAAATTTTTTTTTTGTTGTTGAAACTGAGAATAAAAAGAATAAAGTAGAAATTTTTTAAAAAACACTCTAATTTTTATTAATTTAATTCATAAGTAGGCTCATAAATCCAATCGAGACAAATTTACCATTATAATTTATCCAAACAAGAGTCTAGAAAATATTTCTTTTCTTCACTTTATAAGATTGATAATTAATTTTAATTTAATTTACACATTTGCAGCTAACAACAGGTGAGGAATATAACTATAATAACTATGTATATATTTAAATTTACACATTTGCAGCTAACAACAGGTGAGGATTATAACTATAATAACTATTATTTAAAGTATATATCCTAGTACCTTTATTATATTATTACTCATACTTAATATATTTATATATGCAAAATGCACTGCCATTGCAATTTAAGTACAAAGTTTGATCACTCTCATGGGACAGGAGTCGCAAACTCATTCCCGACTTCCACTGATGAGGTTTCTTTTTCCTGTAAAAAACAAAATGATACAAGGTGGTATCAATACAGGCCACTTGTCAATTAGATTACTTATATATATGCAAAATTTGCACTGCCACTTGCATTTAAGTACAAAACTTATCCTCTCATGGGAAGGATCAAATCAGTTCCCACTCCCACTTGATGAGGTTTCTTTTTCCTTGTAAAACAAAATGTACAGTGGTATCAAAAGGTCATTTGTCAATTAGATTTTATTCCAAACATATATACTCACTCAACAAGCAATTTTATAAACCTTTTTTTTCTTTACATATTTACTGTGTTTCTTCTTCTTCTTCTTCTTCTTCTTCTTCTCCTTGCATTATTTTATTAAGTTACCAGCCAAAGCCAATGGAAAATGATATTCACATGATTTGCCAAACATTGTCTTATTCTCTTCCTATGGAAATATGTACAACAACATATTGAAGATCTGAACATATGAAGAGATTGAGATTGGTACTGTAGTAATAGTACACATCTTATATATTTATATTTGCTCTTATAAATACGTTCTTCTAAGTTTTTGCTTCAAGAAAGCATATATGTAACAGAAATCAGAAAGAAAGAAAGAGAGAGAAAGAGAGAGATTAATTACTTAATTAACCAAGGTAATTAACTAACATGGACAAAGGAACTAAACACAGCCCTCTCTTCTTCAAGTCTGTGCGGTGATTATTATTACTACTGCTACTGCAATTCATTTCACATCTTTCATTTTCTGTTTCCAGTTCTTGTTCATAATGCTCTAAGATCCCTCCTTTACCCTACATAAAGAAATCAAGAAAATAATCCATAAATAAAACTTTTGCTTTTTAAAATTTAAAATGATATAACTGCAGATTATTACAGACCAATCTAGCTAGTATTCCAAAGAACAAAACAACAACAGAGCACTCTATTTAAAAGAATCATATTCTGTATATGTACATACCAGAGAGCTATTAAAATGGTCATTTGGCTTCCTGGGATTGATGTGATCAGATGTTGGTCCAAAATAACTAACCTAAATAATGAAAATACAAAAGGAAAGAAAGGGTTAATCATGTATTTTGGAAATTAATATAAAGAAAAATTTAAGAAATTAATTTACCTTTGGACTATTAACAGGAGAACTAGCAGTATCCTCTAAGGAATCATCATGAAGAGAAATTCCTTTAGCTCTGCTGGTTTTCTTGAAATTTAACTTGTTGGGTAGTTTTGGAGATGGTTCAATAGAAGAGCAAGAAGCAAAAACAACATGGTTGTTGTAATTATGATGATGATGTTGATTATTTGATGGTGATGATGATTTCCATGCAGGAAAAGAAGCAGCATCAGAAACCATAGAAGAACTACCAAAAAAACCAGAATTACAGAAACTATCTTCTTCTCCTTCTTCTTCTCTATGGTTAGAGAAATCTTCAAAATAAGCTGTCCATCCACTCTCTTCTTCAGTAGAATTATTATTATTAATAATATTAGAAACAACACCTCTATTCATTGATGAGTTATTCATAGAGGAAGAGCCATCCATCACCAAAACCTCTTTCTCTTTCTCCTTCTCCTTTTCTCTCTCTATATATAGAGGTGGTGATATGTGTTTTGATGTGTCAAAGCTAAATTGCTTTTTTCTAGAGAGGAATTTTACATCAATGAACGTTGGGTTGGTTATACTGGAATCATATTTATAGTTGTGATTTGGGAGTTCTTATTCTGAGTTTATATCTTTTCTTATAATTATATATATGACCCTTATTTCTCATAATTTCTGATATATCCTATATGATTGTGATTGTGGAATGCGCTAAATTATTTTTTAATTATTTTTATAACCTAATTAAAATAATTATAAAAAAGAAAAAAACTTGGCATTTATAGAAATTATTCAATGCATCGATATAATTTAAGTACGTTGCATCAACTGTTATAATTTCTGTTACACACCCATTAAATTTAATAATGATTATTAGCACGATATAATAAGGAAACAAAAAAAACAAAAGATAACAAAGAATCACAGTTTTTTTTCCTTATGATAATCAATTATTGATTGGTATATGATGGATATGTACTTAATGTTGACAAATATTTTTTCTTTACGACGGGAAGATGAAATAAATAATTTTATTATTATTATTATTATGAAATTTAATATAAGCCTAATTATTAAAAAAAGATATATAAAAGTAGAAAGAGGGAGTTGTTGATCAAGTATAATGTAAAGAAAAGGGTACCCATAGCGTAGAATCTTGGTTTGTAATGTGGGGCCAGAGGAGTTGTGGAAGTTAAATTAGCAGTTGCTACATGAAACCAAGACTTGGAGAGAGAGAACGTGCAAGAAGAAAAAGAAAAAAGAAATGGAAATGGAAAAAGATATGTGTAGGGTTGACCTTTGTGGTTCAAAATGGTAATTTGGGTGGCCATTTTCTTTGGCAGGACTTTTCCTTACAACCAAACACAATTAATGAAATGAAATTAAACAGAATAGAAAAACTTTTTATATTGTTTGGACTAATTTAGCAATAAGAGTCACATACTCGGTCTGAGTCTGAACTGAACGACTTCAATGTGTTGGGTCCATAACACGGAATGGGACCTGTAATTTCTTCAGGTTTAGCTTTGGGATTGGGACAATATGTATTATATTTGCTAAGCCTCAACTTGGGCTTTTTGAGATGGGCTTTCCAATCTTATTCTGGGCTTGCCAGTGCATTGACTCTATGAAGTTGTTATTGAGATCTTCGTTGAGTTAAAAATTCGGTTAGAATTTCATTTAAAGTTTCGGTTCAAAATTAATTTAACCGAATTAATTATATTAATCGACTCTCAAAATTATATCATTTTATTTTAATTAAATAGATAATAAATTAAAAATTAGAAATATTTTTGTTTTATTTTGATTAAATAGTGATTAATAATTTCGGTTAATTTTTATTTCGGTTAAAATTGTTAATTACAAATTTCAGCTAAATTCGGTTGGTTATTTAAGTTTTCATTTTTTTTAACTTCAGTTCGGTGAATGATCAAAATTAATTTGGTCAAAATGATTCAATTAAGTTCGGTTAAAAAATTTAGTTCAATTAAATTCGGTTAATTCAAAAAAAAATTCGATTAAAAATATTGCTCAAAAATTGACCGAATGTTTACCCTTAATCGGATCAGTTTGTTAAAGATATATTTGTTCCATCCTATAATTCTTTTCTTCCGTTTATTTATCATTATTTAATATACTTATTTGTTAACTAAAGTATGACAAAATTAAAATATTAATCTTTAATTTTCCAAAAAAACTCTATTTAATTAAATGTTTGATTAATTTCAAAAATATTTAATGTAGATCATTTAATTTTAGTAGATATTAACATAAGTTATATAAGTAAAAGACAAATTAAAAATTATAATTTAATTATATTAATAAAATTGTTTTAATTTATATGCAAGTCAAATTAAGTAAAAATTATGGGATCAATGAATTAATTGAGTTTGGATTTATCTCATTAAATACATCAACGAATTCAAATAAATTTTTCCTGATTTGAACTTTGAGCAATTTAGGACAATTTGATATATTTACAGTTCAGTTATAATATCAAAATTTTAATCAAAAAGTAACAAATTTAATTAAAAAAAAATCTTAGACTCATTGTTTGGAGAAGTTAAAAGTAGGGAAGGGAAGAAAATTACACTATAAAAAAAAGATAAAATGTAAATTTGGGAAACTGAAGGAAAATAGAAAAGAAAAGAAAAGAAAAGGAGAGATATGGAAAATAATCTTATATTTTCCTGTAGCTGATCAAATTTAAACATTACTCGTTACTAGTGTATATATATATGAAAGGTGAAACAAATAGAAAGTTTAAGACATTCTCTTTATTGAGTATTCTATTTTTCTTTTTTTAGAAAATTTTAAATTTTTTTCTTAATTTTTTGTGTTTTGATTAGCTAATTAAATTAATTTTCTTAATTTTAATATTTAATCTCCAGTTACTAGTTAGTAATAATGAAAGTGTGTGAAACAAGAAAAAGGTTAAGACATCTCTTTATTGAGTTATTCATTTTTTCTTTTTAGAAAATTTAAATTTTTTCTTAATTTTGTGTTTGATTAGCTAATTAAATTAATTTTCTTTATTTAAATTTTAATATTAATAACATTATGTATATTTTTTTTAGAAAATTTTAAATTTTTTTCTTAATTTTTTGTGTTTTGATTAGCTAATTAAATTAATTTTCTTAATTTTAATATTTAATATATAACAATAATAATTGATAATTTTGAAACCTAATATAATCCTTTAACCTAAACTATTTAAAACTTTGTCTATTTTGAAACCTAATCTGATATACTCATTTAATCTACCTATCTAAAAATGAATTTTTAGTTTCTATTTATCACGTTTTGAGTATTTTACTTTTACTTTTCCACAATCCATAAATTTATTTATCTATCTATATTTATATTTATATTTTTGAATTTTCTTCTTTAATTTTGTAAATTTTTTATTTTGATGATGTTAAATATCTCACAAAGATGAAATTTTAATTTCTATTTAACAAATAACAATATTTTACTTTTACTTTCTACAATTTTTTCAATATTTTACTTTCTCTTTTCCACAATTTTATGGCGTTCTTAACCATTACAATATAATAATATTAATTATAATATATTCCCTCTATTCTTTTTATTTAGAGAAAATTTTCTTTTTGGTGTATTTTTTATATAGAAAAAGTTACTCTAAATAGTAACTTTAGGATGCAAACTAAGTTAAAAAGACTAGAAAGCCCTTGGTGTATATTTGTTTTTTTAAGATTAATTAAGGAAAGTGGCAAATACAAATACTCACAACATTTAATGCACATGTGTTTCAAAGGACAAGTTATGATTCACTTTTTCATTCGTTTTATAGTAATAGTGATCATTTTTATAAATTTGGCCAGATAATACAAAGATAAGTCTGATTTGTATGTTTAATGAATATATATTCACTTTTATCATTGCAAATTTGGTCACAACTATGACGTCAAAAACGAATATATGTTATGCTTGGAGTGAGGATCCAAAGATGAAAATCGTACACTAGGAGCCAGCTACTCTACTAAAAAGGGCTGGAAGAGTGCCTTCAGTTGTACACAATAATGTTGAGATTCTGAAAAAATTGGATGCAATTACTACTCTTTTGGTCACATTGATGGAAAAGATAGATAAAAACAGTGAGCAAACACAAAAAAATTAGTGCACAACTTAAAGAATTGCAGTCTTCTATTGCTGATTTGAGGCAATTTTACTAAGGAACGAATCAATATTCTGAGATTCCTGAAACACTTCTTGGAGAAAAAAGTGGACAAAAAAGTAAGATGCGTTCGAAGGTAGTGATCATCAAGCACGCGTAGACTCAAATGAGACCTAACCTCCTACACAAGAACCATGAATAAGAGAGAAGTTTATTGACTCTCAATATCCTTTTGCAAGTGATGAGATAGATGATCCAGTAGGAAAAATTGTGGAGGACATACTTGCTGCTATCCATGCTGATATAGATAAGAATGATGACAATAAATAGGTACATGTGGACTTTTACTGGTAGTAATTGTACACTTTCTGATTATTTTTTGCGTTTTTATAAGCCACTTAGTGGCCTTTTGTTTTTAGTACTTGTGCACTTTTTCAATGGTTTTTGTTTCTCTGTATTAATTAACGGTTGTAAACTTCTCTAAACTACTTTGTGGGCTTTTAATTATCAGTTGTGCACTTCTATAAGCCATTTTGTGACCATAATTTTAGTACTTATGCCTTATTTCAATGGTTTTTAGTTCTATGTGTTAGTTAACGGTTATGAAATTCTGTAAGTCACTTTGTGCCTTTTTAATTTATTAATTGTGCACTTTTGTAAGACATTTTGTAGCCTTGGTATCTTAGTTGTGCACTTTTTCAAAATGTGAAATTATCACGCATTTTGCTGAACTGTGTATTTTTTTAAAAAAAATTGCGCCGTCAAGCTCACACTAAAACTCGAATTTTAGTACCCACTTTCAAATTAAAATTTTTTAAGAGTTTTCAAATTAAAACTCGAATTCTATTTCATTTTGGCAGAATGTATTGCATTTAGGCACTATTCTGAATTTCATTTAAATTTAATTATTCAAGTTTAAACAGGTTATAGTCAAAATTTAAGTTTTCACTCCTTTATTTTCGACGAAAATTTTGGAAATTTGCGGCCTTCAATGAATAAGTTCAAAATTTTGGCCTTTAATTTGGCTTCAAAAATTTTTTTAATTTTTATGCACGTATTATGTAAAACATCCATGTTCTAATACAATCAGATAAAGTTAATAAAGAAGGTTAAAAGTGACGCCCAAATGATACAAGCATACAATAAATGTACGTCTTGAGACTGCCTTTTGTGTCAGCTATTGTTTCCATAATTAATGATGAAATGAAGGGCATTTTAGGCAGAAAACTTAATTTAATTAACTTTCTTAATCAAAAAGCTTTTTCTATTTTCTCTAAATAAATAAATAATTTTTATTTTCTCTTAAAAAATAAATAAATATTATATATATATATATTATTATATAATATATATATATATATATTAATAAATTTTTCAATGCTCTTCATTCAGATTTTCTTTCACTCTATATATAATAAATTTTCAATGCTCTTCATTCTATTTCTTTCACTCTATCTCTAAACC